AATAGAGGAGAGGCTGAAAGACCTGAGTAAGGACAGCATGAGGAATTCCATGGTCAGCTGAGGCAGGGAAGCATTTGGGGGCAGCAGGATCAGGAAATGGCTGCAGGGTGTGTATGGTCTGTTAGGTACAAAGAGGATGAGGTTCTCCAGGGATGCTTCCCACTACGGTGAGGTAGTTGACCTTCAGTGACACTCAGGGGAGACCGGAGAACTCCAGCAGCGAAGGGAGCAGCTTACAAAGCACTTTTCCCCTTCTCCTTACACGGAAGCAGGGCAGGCTGTTCCTGAAACGCAGCTGACCGCCGGCACGCGCCGATGCTCGAAAGTGTCATTACTGAAGGAGCAGGAGGGGGGGTCCTTTGTGTCTCTCCCTCAGGTGATGGCCAATTACCTCATTAAGTATTTAATCGCCGTGTCACGACGGTCAAAGGAGGGAGCTGCTCGCCCGTGCTGCAGCAGCCCGCGAGCTGCGGTGCCGCGCTCAGCCAAGAAGCCGAGCATCCGTCCACACCCCCACCCCCTCCTCCCGCTCCGCGTTGCCAGGCCAACGGCGCGGCGGATGCCGGCGGTCCCTGCGGCTGTGCCGGCCCCGCAGCGCTTCCCTCGCCTCCCTATGGGACGGTCCCCCCTGTCCCCTCGGAGCCCCCGCAGGTACGGGAGGGAGCGGGAGCCGGGGGGGCCGTAGGGGCGCGGCGCCGCGCCATAGGAACGCGGGGAGCCGTGCGCGATGGGGGCGAGCCGCGCCGAGGACCCCGGGCTCCACGCCGTGCGGTGCGGAGCAGCTCCCCGCCCTCGGGAAATCCCCCGCCCAGGCGCGGGGGCCGCAGAGCGGCTGAGCGGTGCGGGCGGCGCTGGGAACCGGGCTGAGCCGCGGCTGGGGAGGGGGCCGCCGCGGGGCTGAGCCGGGCTCTGGCCGCGGGCCGCAGCGCTGTGATCGGGGGCTTCCCGTCCCCAGGTCCCGTGCCCATGGCCCGCGAGGAGGAGGCGCCGGGCGGCTGTCAGCTCGCCGACCAGGAGCCGGAGTGCCAGATCTGCTACAGCCGCTACGACGCCCGCGCCCGCCGACCCACGGTGCTCCTCTGCGGCCACCGCCTCTGCGCCCGATGCCTGCGCCGGATGGTGGCCCTGGGGGACGCGTCGCCCCGACGACTTCGCTGCCCCTTCTGCCGCCGGCAGAGCCCGGTGCCCGGCGAGGACGCGCGACGGCCGCGGGACGACGGCGAGGGGCCGGCGCCTCCGACGCGCCGTGAGCGGGACCCCCCCTCACCCCCCGAGGTCCTGCTGTCCCCCAGCGTGCTGCAGCCCTCGCCCGGCCCGGACTGCCTGGTGCTCACCATCCTGGAGGTGCCCGCGGGCGCGGTGCCCACGGAGGCGCTGGGCGCGCTGGAGGTGGTCCGGCTGCAGAGCCGGCGGAAGAGCCGCGCCCGGAGGTGCCGAGCCGCCCCGCGCTGCCTGCTGGGCACGCTGTGCCTGCTGTACTGCAGCTCGCTGCCCCTCGGCATCTACCTGCTGCTCAGCCAGCACCACGGCCTGGGCCTCGCGCTCGTCAGCCTCCTGCCCGCCGCCCTGCTGCTCTGCGTCTCCTGCAGCCTCTGCCAGTGCCTGTGCCGGGAGCTTTGCGCCTTCCCCTCACCCTGACCCGCGCGGCCGAGCCCTGCGCCCGTGCTGGGGACACGTCGGAGCGCGTTGTCCTGGTGCTGAGCGCCAGCCGTGCGCGGCGCTGCCATCCTCGACTCCTTGCAGCCTGCAAGCATTCAGCCGGCTCTCAGCTCCTCCTGCTCTGCAGATGAGGGCGGCGCGATGCTCGGTGCTCACCTGGAAGGGCCCCAGCGGCGGCCGCAGCCCGGCGCGTGCAGGAGAAGCGCGGGCAGAGCCCGGGGTCCTGCGGCCGGACTGGCGCCAGCACCGCCGTGTCCATAGTGTAAAT